TGCGAGATGAGCCAGCCTGATTACCGGCCTATCTAAAGTTACACACCCCATTTGAGCGGGGCTAACCCACTGGCAATATGCGCAGGTGCAATGAAGTAATTATAAGGCTATCTCAAACTAAATGCGCACACCCGAGGATGATGACACTTGGGTACTATCTCTCGACACCGTTCGCGCTGTCCTTAAGGTACAGTGCTGGCGATCGACGCCATCGATGGGTAGGTAGAAAATGGTACGCTCGACCTCGTTAATGACTTGTCTCGCACCTATGATTCGAGGCATAATTAGCGAGGTGCGAAGCGACCTCATTAAGCCGAGGCACGTCGCGCTAACTGCGGTTGGCCCGGTTAGAGGAGAAGTTATTGAGCTATCCAAATCGGCACGTCCTAGCGTTCGTTCCTAAATTCATAACATAGGCCAGAGGGTCATTACCTGAACTAACCCGCCCAAGGCAGGCAGTGAGATTCAGCGATATGCAAGGATGCACTTCGTAAGCGTATGGGTTTCAACGAGACCTTCTTAAAGCTTTTCGTCATGAATTCTTGAATGATCGAGTTTCGATTAGTTGATTATTGGTTAGTTAAAGGCTAAGCATTATACCATTCCATTCACTTTGACAGGTAGCGCTACCTTATCGTACTACTTTTTCGTAAGCCTTCACCTTAATCTTTTTTCTTTTCGTAAGCCTTAACCTTAATGTTGGGAGTTTTCACTCAATTTGTGCCGATTTTGGTAGCTCATGCGTGCCTCGGCTTAATGAGGTCGCTTCGCACCTCGCTAATTATGCCTCGAATCATAGGTGCGACAAGTCATTAACGAGGTCGAGCGTACCAATTTCTACTGACCCGGCGTCGATACCAAAATCCGATGAACAGTCAGTGGTTGAGAGCAACTAGAAGGGAGAGGAGCAGACGAGTAGGGTGCTTCGTATGGCTAGGCATGTGGCTGACTGACTGTGCGACAGAGCGGGCGGAGTCGGGAGAAGTCACCAGGTATCACTACCCCCCACTTTTCGTCCCATGCACATTTGAGCCAATAATTGGTCACTTTTTCATTTTCAAGTAACAAAGGTGGAGTGTCAATTCAAGCACTTTTGACAGCTCCCCCATTTTCCACATGATCAAAGATTTAATGTCACAAAAGCTTTTTGTTAAGTGCCTGTTGGAAAGGCTCTTAGCTGGTAAATGATTTTGAGATTTCAGACCAGCACCGCACCGGACGCCTCATTGAGATGGATAGGAACGTTACTGACTAGGGAAGGTCGCCAGGTCGAAGTGGCCATTTGTAATGAGATGTAGCTCACTAGACGTGGTTTTGGACGCTGATCTCTAATCTGCCTTCGAAACTTGCAGAGCGATCCTGAACGGAGTCATGGAGCTTTTTCCTACATCTTCCTCCACTCAACAGGTCATGGGATCGGATCCCTGCTGAGCTTAACTTTTTGCTTCTTGCGTGAACGTCGCAAAAAGTAGTTGTAGCGTCACTACTACATTAGCGCTCTCCAAACTTGCCTGAAAACTATTGCGTTCGCTTACTGGCGCGCTTGGTGCCTTGTGATCTAGGAGAATTTTTGGATGTACAGGTGCCCTTGGCGCACAGTGCGTTTTCGCGCTGAGCGAGTGCCATATTCGTGTTTATCGGGGCGAACTACGCCTAGGTAGAGGTTTCTAGCCAAATCTGGCATTTTGACCTGACTTCGAAAAGTGAAGCATCCATGGGTTATCAGTTGATGTTCACACCTATTCAGCTGCAGATACATTCTCCTGCACAAAACCTCGTTTGCCATTTCTTAGCATTCATTTTCGTTACTGCGCCAGTTTTCCTGATATCTGAAAGCAAATTCCGCCGAAGATGAGCAATTAACAAGAGACTGGCCATAGAACTATTTTCTTCCATTTTTCCTTCATTTTCCGCACTTTTTCAAAGTGAGGTCAAATCCTCACATCTGGCTAGAAACCTGTACCCGTTTGGCGTTTGAGTGTTTTCTAGATTCAGAAGAGACATTACTCAGGAAATGCAAAAAGAGCCCCCTCATAAAGAAGCGAACCCTTCATGGCAGGCCCACGAAGCAAGACATTCACCGCTACACCATGCCACCGTAAGGTGTAGAGGGATTCGCTGTTATTCATGCAAATTGGCTGGCAACCGCGCTCGACTCGGTGTCCCTTCATTTTGATTCTAATAAACCTTCATAATTCCTTTCAGAGAATTGTTCTGCAAATTTCGCCACTTCGACCTGGCGACCATCCCTAGTGAGTAAGAATGGGTGTTTCACATTCTGGTTCAGGGTCACTTTTAGCTGACGGGAGAACTTCAGAAGCTCGGTGTAGGGGTTTCGCATGCGGCCGCTCCCAACACGGCCCCCCCCCCTCCCCCGCAATGCGTATTCACAGCAACTGAGTGCCCGTCTTCAAATCGCTCGGACCTATTTTAAGCAGCCATTAGAGTCAATTTTGTCTATGCAGGTCACAAGTTGTAAGCCGCTTCTACCGCTCCATTGCCTCGATGAAGCGAAAAGCCCGGTGTTGAGAATACTTTCTGTCACCTTAGCACACAGCTTTCACTCCCTAGAATTCAGCTGAGCATAAAAACTAATATATACTAGCATGATAGGAGTTGGTGAAGTACTCCACTTTCCGCAAAAATTTTCATGCTATTTAAAAACATTTTCGCTGAAGGCTCAACCCACTGCTTGAATCGTTGTACTGTTGTAAAAATATCAACTCCGTATTTCATTTCTTCCAATAGACTACTCACAAAAAGAGCATATCACTGGTCGGGGAATTCGGATAAGTTCGTACGACCCCCCCCCCTCCCCATTTGGTTCCCTCCTCATCGAGCTGTCGAGCGAGGAGGCCAGGGGAGGGGGCGGAGGGTAAATAGCACATGTGAGATGGGAAAAGCCGCGAGGAAAATACGACCTCTCCCTCCCAGCAACCAAATGCGACTCCCCTGTTGGGGAATCCCCTACAACGATGTGCCTTGCTCACATATTTCCAGGGAAATCCCAGTATTTCATCTTTTGTACATAGGATGTTGCTCTATGTATTTTGTTGCAGGTCCTCCAAGGAACGCTTTGCTGTTTTGTAGCTCATTTGTGAAGCACTGAAGATTTTGTAAGACTCACATTGTCTTATCTAACCATAGAAAAATTTGGAACCATTCAGCGAAACTCTCTCATCTAAAAGTAATGCAATAGTCAGCACAAGGTCAGTGAGTTGAGGGCAAATCCTGCCTTAGACTGAACTCAAACACGGCTGTGACTATTCTGACCCACGTTAGCCCAGGAAGGATTACTGCGGTATATTTCAGGCAGAAGCGAATCGTTTTGCCTGTGTATAAGTCGGCATCCCCGAACTGCGGCGGGAAGTAGCATTCAATGAAACAAAAACAAATCGAAGAGCACTTCTTTGAACACAAAGTGCTCTTCGATAAGGACAGAGTTTACAGAGAATGACGCGGCGTTCCTCCAGTACTCTGCTCTTATCTATCTTTATTTTGTAGGGAGCGATGAAATGGCACTCCTCATGACACTGCTCTTCGGACATTACTTAACCCATTGCGTACCGCGTGCTGCACCATGTGCAGCACGCTCGTTTGCCTCTGTATGGCCGCGTGCTGCACATGGTGAAGCACGCTTCGTTTGAACTTATTTAGCATTGTTAGATGATTGAAAAGAGTTGGTATATTCCTGAAGTCTCTGGGACAAAATATGTGCGGAGGAAACTGCGGGATTGTGTAAGAGCTAAGTTACAGACATTTTCAGAGAAATACCTCAACTATTGTATTCTTTGTCTAATTCTCATTTACCGATAAAACCGAAACTCTGGTTATAACCCGACTGAAAATTCGTAAAATGGTGTGAGTGAACAGTTTCTAAGCACATTGCGTCACTTTTTCAACTCTTCTTAATTTTATCAAGCTTTTTTGGCTAGTTTCGCATTTTTCGGCTCATCACTTTTATCACGTAACAATATTGAATCCCGTTTAGCATACGTCTACATATAAAAGTGATGCATAATACGATGTGTGTACAATATTTTTATGTTATATGTATAAGATAAAAATCTTATGTGTTTATACTCAGCGCGCCACAAATCGCGTCGATAAAACGGCCATGAGAGCCGGTCAGCACAAAAACGGCGCGGTACGCAATGGGTTAAATACAGTCCTCATCATTGCGGACCGGTGGGGCGTGTCAGCCAGAAGGAGTGCGCACACTGTTGAAGCCGTTCTCAGCCTTTTTGTTGCAACGCGTATGCGACAAAAGTGGTAGAAAACGAGTAATAATAAAAGGATAAAGTCTTCGCCGTTGATCAATCCCTTTGTGGGATGCGGCACGCATTCTACTTCCATTCAGAATCGTAGTGGCTTATTGAATGCGATGTGGCCTATACAATGACTTGCGGTGGCCAGCCGATGTACAAGTCAGTGTTTTATCCTCCCAGACGAATCTGGTACCAATTCACCGTCCCCGGAGGGTAGAAGGCTTGGTTGGCCTGGGCGGGAGTCGACCCGGGATTCGAACCCGGGACCGCGCGAATGGTGAGCGCCCCACTTGTCACTACACCATCTCCGCCTCAAAAAAGAGTAATACGAAGGGTATAATACAGTAATGCACTTGCCCGCTTCAAAAACTGGTGCAGAACGATTTTGCCAAACCGCACCAAACGCAGCCGCACTGCCACGCCCCACCGGTCCGCAATGATGAGGACTGTACAAACTTGTGGTCAGGAATCATCGAGAGCGGGTGCTCAGTCATGAAGCGCTACATGACAAGTAACTCCTTTTGGACAGAGACACTACCTCAATTGTGTCAAATGAAAATATCTCACCACATGCACTACCAATGGAGCGTCCACTTGCAGTACGCAGCCACGCCCATCGCATCCCAGGGATATCAAGTGTAACTTTGCTGCTGTCACAAAAAATGGCTTTTTTATGTCTCCATCAGTATATACAACATACAGAGCGATTCATCATAAAGTGAAAATATGGGTCTATGAAATGGTTGCAATGCTGGAACTAGTGGTAGATCGAATTTTTTTGTCACAAGACCGTGGACTGTCTCCTGATAGATTCTTTGTCCCGCTGGTTCCGATAGTAGATGTTGAGTCCAGGAGAAGTATCGTTACAAACGAAAATATGAAGCAACTTATCAGATTGTATCCGCAAACAACACTCATATACGCAACATCTGCCTGAAAACGAGAATTCAGGTTGGCAAAAACATTTTGTGCCTAAGTGTTGTAATTATGAATTTGTCCAAAAAAGGGGAGTGAGGGAGTATTGCTGCGAATGGAACAATGATAGGTCCAGATAGCAACCGTTCAAGAAAGTACTTCACCACCAGACAGAGCGAGTACTGGAGTGCACGACCTTCCTCTTCACCACCTTCGCCCTACCGATTATTCAATATCATATGTTAGCAGATGAGATTTTCAGACACGTTTTTTAATACTGCTGGTGTGGAGGAGAATAACTAATTAAAGGCATCAGGTATCGAAGTTGAATATATGGCGTCAGGAGGTTAGAGTGGTCCGCGACGAACAACCTTGTACCGGTTTCGCGGCAAAAATTCTAAGGGAGGGGCGCTATAGCGCAATATAGGTTCAGTGGACTCCTCCTTTTTTCCAGTGACTCCGCCTCCAGACTCCGCCTCCAATGCCCGGCTTTCAGTGAAAAACGAGATTGCAGGACGAAAAAGCATGAAAGTCACTTGTACGATCGTAGAGTTCTTATCGGTGAATCAGCTGTGCGTATGAGGGCGTAGTGTGGGAGATAGAGTTAATTGGGCACGTACAAACTGGGATCAAAATGGGGTTCTATCTAGGGCAGGTGGCATGTTTTTTGTGCTTTTTTTCTTCACTGTCGAGTTACTCAACCCCTTGTCGTCTATATGGAACCCCCTAATCCATTATCTGAGGCGGTGAATAATGGCTGGTTCTGCCTTAAAGTATAAATGGCAGAAAATGCTATTTCCTGACTTGAATGGTGTTTTTCCGCTACTGTACACACTCTTAAAGGCAGCCCCCGCGCTCAAGTAGTACATGGTCGTCCTTCCTTGTGCAGGTAGTTCAGCCCCCAAGCTAGATACTGTCCCACTCTCGCGACTCCACAGTGAGCGAGGAGCGAGCTACAGCCGCTCAAAGTTCTAGTTCTAACGCCCGCCCAGTTGGACCGCCCTAGCTGCCCTCTGACGGAGAGCCGCTCAGTTGTTCTTTGTTGGGACGGCGGGCATTAATCGGAACTGCATGTACTTTTTGCTGACCGCGCTCGTGCCCATAAATAATTCTGCTCTCCTTCATCACATTTTATTCATTGGGAGCACATACAGTCAACTGCAACCCATCTCGTAAGGTAAAACGCGTAAAAATCACGAATGATGCAATTTCTGTGGTGCAAAAGCTCGACATGCACCAAAAGCTGCACACCTCACGTAACCCCAAATTCGCACGCCAGTTCGCGTCTTTGTTGTTCTTCATATTCTTTTCTTTGAATTGGATGTTGTCCACTACTGGGAAATGCCATAAAGCGATTTGTGAGCCAGGGGTTGCCCACGGACCGCAGGGCGGTGTAACTGTAAGGGAGCAATTTTGTTTGTGGTGTTCTTGAGGGCTCTTGTTGCTTTTTTCCTTCATTGAGGAATTACTTATCAGCTACTGTTTCATAATTGATCAGCAATTATCCTTGACACTTTATCGCGGGAGGCTCTTGATTTCGTATGGGATATCACGAAACGAGCTCAATATTTCACTCTCGTTGACTTTGCAATTTCCAAAAGTCGGGGAAAGGAGAGACGACAACTAATTTCAGACCCTAATTGTCTTACCTTTCCGCTCCTGTTTTTGAAACATGCCGGATTGAATTTCATGTGAAGGCTGATGAACATGATTACTGCTGCGACGACAACATACAGCAGACTAATGAAGGATATCCTAAAAGTAAGTGCTACAGCCGCCTTCTACAGTATTGCCTCAATAAGAATAGAGATTCGATACTTTGAAAGGTTAGCAAAGATTTGTTTTCGAATGAGCTAAAATAACGAAAAAATATTGGAAAGGGGCAGAGAAGCTGTGGAATACAAAGGCAGCATTCAGACTTCGAGAAGTCGCGCGTCACAGCCTGTAGTGGCATGTGGACCGCATGTCGAGCACACGTATCCTGTATTCTATTCAATAGCCCCCCAGATTCCTGAAAGCAGACTGCATGCCTCACTTCAGAACTTACTTTGAACAAGAAGTTTCTTCGAAAACAAGCACAGAAAAACACCACTGAGACTCTCAAAACACTCGCATAAGTCAAAATGATGAAAAACAGAAGTAAAAAGAAATGGAAACAATTTCGTAACCGGGTACAGGTAAAGAGAGATTAGGAAGCGGCAGCATGGGAGAACGGGTGCAACTGTAGCGCATCGAAGCGCGTCACAGCGTTCGTCGCTCTGTGATGCGCGACGTTGCGAAGTCTGGACGCTGCCTAGTTGCGTTCAGCACCCTCTCAAATATTTATCATTGATGCAAAACCTATACAAATAGGTTAGCAGATTAACGATAACTTTTTTGGTCGGTGACTTTTCATTTTAGGCGAGTTGAACCTTCCCCACCTCACGTTTTTCGGCAGTCTCGCAATTTTTCATTTTTCACCCGCAGTGGTAAATTCATGTCCTCATCTCTCCTGCCCTCATCAGCGGATGTTGGGGTGGCTTTCCAAAAGAAAATAATAGAAAGGGGGATTGTATTAGGGGAACTCCCAGACCGTCGCTCTGCTCAGTGGTCCCCGCATGTCTGAGGAATTGTATGTGACCTAATGAGAGTTTTGATAGTACCCCCTAATTCACAGTTGTGATCGATCCTCTCGATGGATGAAACTTATGAAAGCATTTCTTTTGTTGCTGGTGGTCTCTCAGTGTAACAAGCCGTCATACCGACGCAACAGCACTCTATTAAGAAGATCACTTTTTTTGTATATCTATTTCCTTGATGGACAAATATACTAAGTGTTTTTCTCGAAGAAATAATCTGCCGAAGAGCATAGTTTCTTCGTCTCAAATGAGATATATACGATTTCTTCCAGTGGTTCTTTGTCACGAAATCATATCCTTACATAATAGCCACTATACAAAAGAATCGGAGATTCTGTCCAGAACTGATGAGATACAAGCAGAAGGCCGCGGTTGTAGCAATTGCCATGGTTAGCGTAAAAGATGGACGATGAAGCTGTAAATATGCATACTGCATATTTGCCGTTCCAGGAAAAAAACCATAAAATCATCAATTGAAGTTTAACAAGGAACTAGGTAGTGTACTCTGCTCACATAGCCATTGAAAGAAATATATGCAATAACTGTCGGGAACAGCCGATAGACACTCAATGTTTCTATCGCCTTAGGTTGGACCAGCCGGTTCTAATTAACAGGTCCCAGAAGAATGGAATCTTATTTGCCTGGACGGGGACCGATTCCGGGTTCAGCTCCGCGGCTGCGCTGTGGTAGGCGATTCCACTTCCGCAGCTCCATCTTCTCACGCCATACGATTCAAGCATGTGCCAATATATTGTTTGCGGAGCGGGGAGAATCTCTGTGAGCTCACCAGTGAGCGCTCTGCGGAGCATTCGCTTCGTAGTCATGAACAAGGAGAGCGCAGGCGCAAATTGGCAACGAAGGGGGGGGGTGTGGGGGATTTCGCACTTTCGCACTCACACGTGTCGTCCCATCTGAAGAGACTTTTCATGAGTTGACAGGCTTCACAACTAAGCTTGATGAGCTTGCTCAAACTTCACAGAAGAGCGCGGATCAGTAATGCGTGTGGCTTTAGTTAGGCTCATGCCTATTTGGGAGACGTCAAGCATGTGGGTAGCGTGGTTGTTGCGTATCCAAGGGCGGACGAAGACTTGAAGTACAATGAGCTGTTACCTCCAGCTCCATTTCCGCATGAATTCAAGTGTTGGAAGTGGTATACTTCTGTAGTTACAGGCTGACCTACTTTCTAATGGAGAGGCAAGCATTGCGTTTTCAAGTTTTGCCACATACCGCCACCCATCTCAGCTAATAAGTGGTCATCAATGAACTCGAAACTGCGTAGAAGTTCGCACTTTACATTTACCGCCTCGAGGGGAGACGTTTTAACAATACTGGTAAGTTCTGAACGCTCAGTCACTCAATCGTTCCCATTACTCGAGTCGTTCCCCACACCCCAATCGTTCCCAGAACCGTCTCATGATTTTTTTTTGCATAGATGAGCTTCTCGAACAGTCGAACCTGTCACGTATGAGACGATTATACCGGACTGGCCGCAAGTCGTTGTATGTCTCATCCAGTCAAGCGTGTATAGCAAGTAGCAGCAGCAAAGAAGAACAGAGTTGAAAATTAGTGATACGTAAATGTTCGGAATACCACGTGCTTTAAAACAGCCCATGTTCTATCTAAAATATTTTTCATGATCTGTGCCGTCTCATCAGTCGAACAAATGGCAGAGCTACAATCAAGGTTCGGATGACAACTTCCATAATGATCGCTTTCATTTGAACATTTGATTATAACGCCCCTAAGAAAGTGCAAAAATGATTGAGAATAATCAACCCATCGCGAAGAGCTTTCATTTCTATGAAAGAACATCTAGTAAAGATAAATTGGCCATAGAACGAGCAATCCACACTGTACAAGTACTTTTGCCGGTCGATCCCATTACACGTTAACTTGTCAGCGCCGACTAGCCGGTGGTAAAGCGGGAGACTGCTATGCTCGACTAGCGGGGTCTGACTTCCGCTCACTAGCTTCCGCATTAACTCTTCTAGGATAAACTCAGGAGCCTCCCTGCTGCCCCATTTATGCCATTACTCCCACACTCAATAAATGGACAGCGCAAGAGCAACTATTGCAGATGAGCATGACTCTGCCAAGGGCGGCAGTCGGTTTTGAGTCGGGCTCTTGTCTTGAACTTTTTTTGCTCATCTAACCGGTCATTGAAAAAAACAACCAGTAGTCTCAGAACGCAAATCCTGCTCTTCACATACACACACTGGGGATGACAGAGAAGCATTCAGCCATGATAGATTCTCCTCTCCTTTGTCTTTCGCCCCCACACCGTCACAGACAAGCAAAGCCTTTGTTGGGTCTATAGCTCCCTTTCACGTTCAGACCTCGTAAGTATCTACCAGAGAGCGGTTAGTAGGTTCTCTGGGGCGGCCCCACAGCACCTCAAAACGGTGCAGCTTTTACTATTCAAGTGGAACGTTCCAGCTCCACCTTTATCTTCCTAAACAGTTTTTAAGCCTTATGAAACGAGACTACAGCTTCAGCCTCAGCCGGCATCTTATGGTCAAGCGCGAGTCGTAGAAGCGGGATTGCGCCGATGTCGCGTTTACAGAGGTGCATGGACGGAGCTGCCACTATATACTATGAAAAAAGAAGTGAAGAACAAGCATTACTAGTGGAAAAAGAATATTATCCTAAGTATCGGGTTATTGGAGCTATGTGTACCTGAGTAGGGAAATCAACATGATGAGCTACTTTGCACCACAACTGAGCAGTAGGAGAAGCTTGGGGAACATCCAAGAATGTCAAGAGAGCAGCAAAGAGGACGAAAGGAACCCTGTTCCATGCCCATTGCTTTGACTCGTTCTTGCTGTGACTTACGCCCCGCCCTGGATACAAAGCAAGCGATCATGCGTTCAGCGCTATCTAGGGAGCGATGTTCGGAGCTCTCTCCGCCCTCACTTGTGGAGAGATTTAGGGCTTCACAAAACATTCGTCGATCAGAGATCAGAGACGCAGCCGTAGCCGTATTTCCAAGGTTCCGATGATCAGGTGGGCCGGGCACGTCATGCGTTTCAAAGGTGACCGCTGCACCAGAGCATTCCCATTGGATTCTTCGCGGATGTCAAAACGCGGAGAACAAGCGTCTACTTTTTCTTTGTAGCAAGCTCTGCCTCTGAACGGAAGGCGATGACATTCATCGAGACTTTGGCAGAAGAAAGACACCGGCAACTCGAGCACGTTGCAGGACCGAATAAAAACGTGACTGGTGCCCACTCGAGGAACTTGATGATCAACGGGAGCACGAGTGGCCAGTGATCATTGTTCAGTTCGTTGATGAGGTCTTCAAAAATTAAAGCAAGAATCTCGTGTTGTGTAAAATGACCCAACTTCTCGCTCTTCTCGCTATCTGTTATATTTTATCTCACTCTTCCGAGGCATTCATACAGTCCTCATCATTGCGGACCGGTGGGGCGTGTCAGCCCAGAAGGAGTGCGCACACTGTTGAAGCCGTTCTCAGCCTTTTGTTGCAACGCGTATGCGACAAAAAGTGGTAGAAAACGAGTAATACGAAGGATATTATACAGTAATGCACTTGCCCGCTTCAAAAACTGGTGCAGAACGACTTTGCCAAACCGCACCAAATGCAGCCGCACTGCCACGCCCCACCGGTGTCCGCCCATGATGAGACTGTAACATATCCATGTAGTATTAATATCGCCTTCAGATATCTTAAAGACAGCCTCACGCTCAAGTACTTGTGGTTGTCCCTCCTTTAGTGCAAGTAGTCTACCCCCAAGCTAAGAGACTCTCCCACTCGACTCCACAGCGAGCGAGGAGCGTGCTACAGCCGCCGAAAGTTCTAGTTCTAACGCCCCGCTCAGTTGGACCGCCCACTTGCTACATCCCATCTGCAGGAAGGCCGCCCAGTTGTTCTTTGTTTGGACGACGGGCATTGCATATCCTTTTTGCTAACCACGCTCGTGCCCATGAGTAATTCTGCTCTACTTCCCTAAATTGAATTACTAGGAGCACAAGCAGTCAATTGCAACCCCAATTTTGTAAGGGTAAAACGAAAACTCTCACGACGTGGCAATTTTCTCGATGCAAAAAGCTCGGACGCCTAAAAGATGCACGCTTATCGTAATCCTAAATCTTTTACGCCATTCTTGAAAGAATCTCTCCCTCATGAAACTTCCGTCGGTGTTTTTGTTGTTTTTTCGCCTATTTTTCTCTGTATTCGATGACATTTACGACGGGAGCTGCGAAAAAGCAATTTCGTGAGTAGTAGTTGTACGGTATTGTATCTTTGGACTCTTGTCTTGCTTTTCTCTTCTTTGGAATCATTATCAGCTACTGTTTCACATTTGAACAGCAGCTATCCATGACACTCCATCGGAACTTTCTTTGGGGCGTTCCAAAAGAGAAAACAACGTGTCCTATTATCAAGAACAATTAAAAGAATCCTACTATATGTGAACGGCAACGGACTGTCTGTCTGCTTCTGTCTGTTTGTCTGTCTGTCTGTTCTGTTCTGTCTGTTCTCATCTGTTTGTCCGTCCGGAAATTCGGAATTCACCTGGACGCAGCCAGTTGGAGGGGCGGGTCAAGGTGTTTGGCGCAGGCATGGGCAAGGGACGTACGGGGAACGCCACATTTGAACTAATAGCTTAGCTCCGCTCACTGTGGCGGGCGTGCACAACTTGTAGCTACCACATTTGCAAAAAATTCGTAGTTTGGATCCAAAAGAGCGCCCAAGAGCCGGCAAGAGGAAAAAACTGGCAAAGGATAGGCAATCCGGCTGAGCGCGGTCGAAATGAGTGAGACAAACCCATTTTGGGCGGGGCGTTCTATAGGTGGGCGGTGCTTGCTACGAAACCTTCAAAAATTCGCAGTTCGGTTCCAAAAGAGCCCCAAGAGCGGAAAAAGTGGCAAACGATAGGCAATCGGTTGGCGGTCGAAATGAGTGAGACACACCCATCTTGAGCGGGACATCCGAAAATTCGTAAATTGGTTCAAATTCAATCCGCGAAAGTGGAAAATATGGCAAATGATAAGCCATCTGCTGGCGGAACGAAATTGCATGCGATATAGACCCATTCATGGGGGCGGCGTGGGCGTTTCAAAAAAAAAAAAACACAAAATGGTGGGCGGGAGCTTGCACGAAGTCTTGTCAAAAATCATGAATCGGTTAAAAGGGCCTGGGGAGAGGGAAATGTGCACCAATGCATGGGCAATCTGTTGGCGGATGAAATGAGTGATAGAGGGCCCCATCTTGGGCGGGGCCGGTCCGTACGGCGGGGCGGCTGCTTGGCCCTCAAAACATTCAAAATTCGTAACTCGGTTCCAAATGAGGCTGATGAGAGTGGCGAAATATTGGCAAATGCATAGGCAATTCAGTTAACGGTCAAAATTGACGTGTCGAGACACGACCCCTTTTGGGCGCGCCGGCCGTCCTATAGGTGGACGGTGCTTGCTACGAAAATTTAAAAAACTCGTAGTCTTAGATTTCAAAAGAGCCCTTCGGAGAGTGGAATGGCCCAAATGATAGGCAATCAGTTAGCGGACGAAATCAGTGAAGCACACCCCTGACGGGCGGGACGTTCGCCGAAGTGAACGGTGCCGAGGGCAAAAATCCTCAAAACGCCAATACGAAAAACGTCCCAAAATGCGGGGGAGTTAACGGTTTTTGGCAACTGGACTGAATAGTTTGGCAGATGAACGTTGGTGGTTATAACCTAGATTAGTGCTTACTCAAAATGGCTGGTTACCGTCGGCCATTACTTAATTCTCGAGCCTCATCACCTGAGGCCGAGCGCCGCAAGAAAATTTTGACGACTGGGAGCGCCGCCATAGAAAATTTGGACGACTATTCTTTTAGGGGGTGGAGGGGGGGGGCGAGCGGGAAGGGGTGGATATACAAGAAAGTGAAACGTAAAGTAGCGCCTAATCTCAAAACAAGATTTTTTCGACCATTCGCTCGGCGACAGTCGGCTGATCGACTCGCCTCTCACTCATTGAAAACTCTCACGGGACCACTTCACACGCGGGAACGAAGCGATCGGCCTTCTGATGCTTTGATTTCTTGAACGAATGGACAGACCAGACGGGATCCAGAAAAGAAAAGCCTACACTGAGTACCATTTTTGATTTTACCAGTTGGCCATCGCGCCTTGCGGCGTGGTTGAAGCGGTGCTCCCCCGGACTTTTCAACTGCGGGGCGCAGTCGGACCGCCCGCACTTGGAAAGTCCGGGAACTGAAGTGGAAATGTGCGTGTATTTGAGTTGCTGGAGAATAAATAACAGGCAAAAAAGTAAATAAACAAAGCCACACACACATTAGTTGCATTTTGAATCGAACCCCATACACCCATTCCATGCCTTGTTCACTGCTATTCTCATGTGTCTTGAGACGACATTATGAGTGTTTACAGAAGGCACCCGATTCTCATGGTACCAATCACAATTACTGAGGTTTCTACCATCACTTCATCTGGCTGCCGTTGTCGCTCTTCACACATATTACCCATTCGATCGGTGGCAAAATGCGTTTTGCAAAGTCCATCCTCGGGCCAGGAGTTTCACTTCTTCGCACCTCGCCCAATTGTGGCCAACAAGCCCAGATATTTTTGTATGTGCTCTGTGAATGTCGGCCCACGA